AGCAATGGACTTTCCTCTGTGTGCGTTTGCATTATAGAAATATCACATACATTAGAGACTACAAAACCTGCAGGCATAAATTAATTATTCAACCTTCTTGGCAAGACATACCACACAATCAAATAGCCTATTTAAACCAGTCAACAGTCGTCAATGACATTAGTGTTAAGCTGGTAATATTTTGCATAACTACTAAGTTTTTTGTTGCAGTACATTTAAAATCACACAGGTCTTTGAAAGCAATGCAAAGGGGACATTCAATGTGCTTCACACTCATAATTAAGGCAAAGCAAAAACCTGTATACTATACACATGCAACATGGAAATAAACATAGACAATCAAAATTTTAAAAACAGACTCAAAATTTTCCTGCCTGCATTTTAAACACTGTTAATATTGGAGCACATCTAAAATAATCTGGCAAGACATTTCAGCAGTTGGACCACAAAAACCAAAAGCCACTTCACCAGCATATGTTTTAACTCTCAGAATAATCAGAAGGTCTGAACCTGAAAACCTGAGAGTGCTGACAGGTTTTTACCAAATGAGCTGGTCAGAGCAAAGATGAGAACCTCACAACAATCTGAACCAATTTGGAGCAATGATTAAACATTTCTAGCCACTGCTATAGTGCATTTTATTCCCAGTGGATGGATGAATAGTGCTTATGGGATATTTGCTGTGATTTCTTCAGATTTCACTGGTGCCTTAGAAGAACAGTAACACAAGAGAGCTAGTTACTTACGTAAAGACACTTGTGCTCTAAAATTATGTTGGAGTTTACAGCATCCATCTGCTACTTTGTGTTTTTATAGTGGGAGACGATCTGTGATTAACAGCACAGAGAAGTGAAACTGAGGTAAAACAGAAGAAGAATCTGTCTCCTCCGCCTGTCCAAACTTGGCCAGTAAATTTGCCATGCCCATGGTGCGCACATTTCACCTCAACTGTCTCTTGTAAAACCATTTGTATTTCATGTCTTCGCTTTGATCCATATAAGGAATCCTTTCACTTCATGTCATGGAGAAAGTCAGGCTTTTATGTGATAAAGGAACATCTTGAAAATATTGGTTACCAATGCAACAGCAAACTGCTCCCCAAAATCAAAACTACTATGAAACATAGGTGGAGCTGAACTGAAATTGAATTATTTTTACCATAATTATAGATGCGTTATAAACAAACTAAGAGAGACTGGTAACTACCATTCACAGTAGTCAATGACAGCTACCTTATTGACTCTATGGGTCAATAATACTCTCATTTATTTGCTATGGCTGTAACCTCTGAGCTTTCCCTCAATGAGGATAAACCCAGGGTCAGTTTGGTTTATGACCATGTGATCACTGAGCTTTTCACACCTGCTCTCAAAGTCTGGACTTCACTTGGTCATATGTTCTTATGCACAACCAGCCAAAGGATGTGTCCTCGTGGTTAGCCACACCCTCATCAATCACCTCCCAAGGAGATGCAGTCACAAGGAAGACAGAATAAACATCATCTTGTCGGTGGCAAGAATGGGAGCTGCAAAACCTTTTAAAGGACACTTCCACACGGTTCTGACGTCTACTTCTCAGAATGAGAAATTGCAGATGTCACTGTGAATTCTGATACTGTCTCTGCACTAAGCTGAGGTTCATCCAGCCTGTCTCTGAATTCCTCAGGCTAGACAAATAATGTTTGCACCAACAGCCAAAAAATAACCCACTGCTCTCAATGAAAAAATAAAAACACTTTGTGTCCTAAGAATAAAGCTACTGTCACACCCACAACTATAAAACTATCCACTACTGTAAAGATATTGTCTATAAAGCCTGTAACACACAATATGTCAATATACAGTATGTGTGCTTATTTCTTTTTACAATTTGAAAATACTTTACTTTACAATTATATCACTATGTAATTCTGCAATGTAGCTTTTACAAGTATGTTGGATTGTTTAACATTAAAATCTGTTAAATTTAATGTAATTTTTTTATATCCAGAGTGAAAAGGCTGTAAATCAATGAAGTAACAGGCAGTAGGACATTTTCTTCCAACTCTACTCATTCTCCATGATATGGGTTGTATGTGTACATATATGTGTGTGCAGGTCTATTAAAATAATTGTATTCTGGTAAATGAGATGCATATTAAATCCAATATATTTCTGTAAAAGCTTTATACCATGATATCAATTTTAATGCACTGTAATTAGTGTGAGAATTGAAAAATATGCCAGCCTCATCTGTTTCACACACTGAAGGCATCTGTGGTGGGAACCCATGATAAAACAGTAAAAGCTACTAGACAACAGTGATGGGCTTTGTTTCTGCTTTGCTCTCATGGGACCCAGTTTGGCTGATGGTAGTGGGATTTGGGCCATCATCCAACATACAGAGAGCCTTCATTAAGAGGACAAATCACATTAAAAGTGTTTTCCTTGGGGGGTTAATAACTTTGCTGATGAACTTTTGCACAGAACATGAATGCTAAAATGATGATGTTAAGTAATTAGACAGAGCACCTAGTGGAGTTTGGTAAGTTGAAATGATACAACGATGCCCTGGATGCAAGATTATCGAGGGCTACCTGTGGGCATTCAGACTGTATGTGGTAAAACGAAACTCCCTGCTCTGTTTTTATACAAGAGGTCGAGGGGTTGCAGGGGGCATGTGTACAAAATGACCACATTGTGACAAGTTGATGTGAGTGGCTTAAAAAACTGTAACATCCAATAGCCTAACTAATGAAAAAGCATGGTGTGTCGTTATGGTGTTAACTGTGTCCCAAATTCGACTGTCATTTGTCAATGCATTGCCTTTGCCAGATGAGGTTACCTTTCGGTACAGCAAAAGTTGAACGAGGTACAACTTTTTCGCTGCATAGGGCTGCGTTGTTTTGCCAGAACCCCCTGCTGTGCTAATGCCAGCTGCAGTGAACACAATCCCCCCATAGTAATGAATGTCAGTCAGCCCACCACTTTGGCACAGTCTGACATACAGTATCTCAAGGACAAGTGTAGATATGAAATTTTGCACCATGTTTCCATTACCAAAAAGGTCTGATTGTTGTACACCAAGTCCACAGCTGCATCATGAGTGTTGCAAACATACACACACACACACATTATTAAGCGTGTCAATCAGCTGCCAAACCACCACAACCCCCAGATCCAGTCAGTCAGCCAGCCAGCCGTGCAAGAAGGAAGTTAGTTGGCTGGGCCAAGTGAGAGAACAGCTGGCCGCCACTTTCAACTCACTGAGACTACCTGGCTTGGCATCAGCTGCTAGCGACGGACATATCTCTGCAAAATGCTGCATGTTGCAAAACAGATGGATAGGCTGTACCCACAGAGTAAGGTTAAGGAAGCTATAGGCCATGCAAACTGCTGCTCTGAGAGGACAGCCACGAGAAAACATTGGTTGAGTGTCTTTATCACCCTAGTGGAGCTGCAGGGATGAAGACAGAAAGGTTTAATGGCATTAATAAGGCCCAGGGAAACGTGTGATATAATCCTGTAGATCGACTGGTGACACAGCCACCCTGAAAGGAGTGGAACTGGGGCAGAATTATTCCACTGACATTACCCCAATCTGAATTTAACTTTCTGGTGGTCATGGAGACAGGGGCGAAATTCAATGAAATAATATTCAAAGCAGAGACGAGATCTGCTTTGACACACAGGATCTCGTCTCTGCTTTTTGCAGACGACGTTGTCCTGTTGGCCCCATCAAACCAGGACCTCCAGCGTGCACTGGGGCGGTTTGCAGCCGAGTGTGAAGCATCCGGGATGAGAATCAGCACCTCTAAATCCGAGGCCATGGTTCTCAGTTGGAAAAGGGTGGCTTGTTCCCTTCAGGCTGGCGGAGAGTTCCTGCCTCAAGTGGAGGAGTTCAAGTATCTTGGGGTCTTGTTCACGAGTGAGGGAAGGATGGAACGGGAGATTGACAGGCGGATCGGTGCAGCTTCTGCAGTAATGCGGTCGATGTACCGGTCCGTCGTGGTGAAGAAGGAGCTGAGCTGTAAGGCGAAGCTCTCGATTTACTGGTCAATCTACGTTCCGACTCTCACCTATGGTCATGAACTTTGGGTCATGACCGAAAGGGCAAGATCCCAGATACAGGCGGCCGAAATGAGCTTTCTCCGCAGGGCGGCCGGGCGCACCCTTAGAGATAGGGGGAGGAGCTCGGTCACCCGGGAGGAGCTCAGAGTAGAACCGCTGCTCCTCCACATCGAGAGGAGCCAGCTGAGGTGGCTCGGGCATCTGTTGCATTCCCCCGGAGGAGCTGGAGGAAGTGTCTGGAGAGAGGGAAGTCTGGGCATCTTTGCTTAGACTGCTGCCCCCGCGACCCGGTCCCGGATAAGCGGAAGAAAATGGATGGATGGATGGATAATATTCAAAGCAGTCACAGATATAGCTTGTGTATATGCGCTTTATATGTGTTTCTACATGTAAGTGAGTGTGTGTGCATACGTCTGAGGGTGACTGACTGAGAGGAAGAACACTATCAAGACAAACTCTGCATGATTTTAGCCCCGCTCTGATTTATTCATCATCACTCAACATCATTGTCACCATCAGGTAGAAAAGCAGTGATCACATGGTTGGCTAGAGGTGAAAGCGATCAATAGATGACTTCAAAGGGGCAGGCAGGAAGAGTCAGGGCAGCCGTCACAGAGCACATCATTAGGCTGCAAATATGCAGCCCTCTGAGGCATTGCATATGAAGTGACATTCATCTACATGGACTTGAGGCAGTCATTCACACCATCAACCCCCCAATCTTGTTCTGCATTAGCCCTTTATATTATCTTTGTAAAACATTTACTATGGCAATTGAGGTTAATCACTTAGGCTGAAAGCATAAAACCACTGGCAAGACTGGAGAGCAAGGATCTCTTAATTCCCACCTTGTCCTTGTTTGCCTTTTCCCTGCTATAGAGGAACACCACCTCAGCTATTAGGCCTCTGAGGAGGACAAAATAGTAAAGAGAGCTCGATTTAAGTACTCACAGTTTTTCCAGGGCAGCCAAGCCATAGAAGGAGCCATTCCTTAGCAGAGAGATCTTGTTGTTACTCAGGTTTCTGTTTAGGGGCAAAATATGTGAGAATACAGAATGAGCTACAGGAGCTACATTTGTAAATATCACCAAAACAGAGCTGCAGGAAATTATTTATTGAAATGGCTGATAAATTGTTTATCCTCTGACCGCCAATATGTTGGCAAGAGATAAGGATTTATGTCTGATGAGACTGCGGCTGTAAATTACTCATCCCGGCCATGTTCCTGTCTTGCTAATGGCCGTTTCTAGTTAATATGGGTAATGATCCAAGCCAACCCCATTCTCCCTTCCTCCATGTCACCCTAATAGAGGCTTAAAGAAATGCTGGTTCAGCACAACTCAATCATCCACTGCTCACATTACCACAGCAAATACATCAATGAAACACACCAGAGGGATCTTAAAGTGATGAATTAATATTCAGAGCTGATTCAGTGCCTTCATTTTATCCCCGGGTTTCCTTTTTTGGATGAATTATGTCTGTGCTGAAAGGTAATATAAGGAAGTATGGTCCTCAAGTGACTGGCTGGCAAGAACCTGGACAAGACTATCCACAGAGTGTTACTGGCAGGTGTGTGCGCACACACACACACAAGCTTGTCACATAATTCTACACAGTGGCCCTTAGAACCCTCTCTCCATCAAACCTTAACAAACCACAGTGAAAACACAGACAATACAATAGCACACACACATACACACACACCTATATTGAGGCCTTTCTGTTAATAGTATTTCCTCCCTAACCCCTACCACCTTCATCCTCTGCATTCTGATAACTTTAATCTTTAATCTAACCCCAGCTGAAATCCTACACAAAATCTAAATCTTGTAGAAATTAGGAAAAAATGTTAACAAGTGCAACAACACTAAAATACATATGCTTACAGTACATACAAAAAAATTTGGTGTTATGGTAGAAAATAAAATCCCACAGTGACTTGTTAGCCCACCTAAAGCCCGTGTTGCCTGCTGTTTTTCAGACACAGGATCATGTCTACTCTTCCAGCCAGCTAATAATGTCTACCATTGTTTGGCCAGTATACCCTGAAACATACAGGATGTGCAGTATACCAAATTAGACATGTATCAGTGTGGTTGTAGGTCAGGGAAGCTAAGTTTGTGCAAATCCTTTAGAACAATTCAAAATGTTTTACACAAGGATAATAATATAGCAAATAAAAACACACATACACTAAGAACAGTGTCACTTCAGCCTTAATTTACCCCAAGTTTTCCAAGGCTCTGAAATATGTTTTGTAAATCTGTCTCAGTGCGTGGTGGAATCCTTCATTCTGAAAACATGTTCTGCCATAGTTCAAACAGTTGTGGTTATTTCACATGAGAGATTTTTGTCTGTACCATTTTGGCTGGACTAATCTCACAGGTTTAAGTCCATGTGTGCTTTGTCAAGCAAAGCACTGAACTTTAAGGCAAGTTCAACCAATACATCCAAAACTATTGGCCTATTGAAGTGTTTTTAAAAAGTGTGAAAGTCCACACAGATAACATGGCAAGCAGCTATAATGATTTATAGTACACTTATTCTGCAGCTCAGATTAACAACATTTTAAATACATATTCAGTGGCACTTGTGGATTTAATACCTGATCAAATATTTATTACTCCAGCCAGCTCTTAAACCATTTGCTGCAGGGCTGCTCTGCCTCTGTGACACTGTGGACATACTATATGTATGGCCATGTGACCTGTTGGCCAGAGCAATTTTTGCATTTGCTATTTTGTGTATCTCTTGTCAAAATATGATCACATACACAAACACACATCCTCCACCAGCTTCCCATTTTCTTTTAACAAGGCAGTGAATGGTTGGTGTTTGTGGGGGAAGGTAATTGGGAGGTGTCACTAGGCTCCTCTGCAACAACAGGATGCTTGTTATGGCTACAGGGAATGTATACTTTTAACCCTAGGATTAAGCAGTTGGATCCCACAATGCATTGTGCTGAACGGACAAATCACTGCCCAAATTGCAAGGGAAGCGGAAGGTGAAGACTCACACATGACACAAATGAACATGAAACCTAGTCATAAACCCACAGGAGGGAAAAAACTAAATAGTATAGACTATTAAATGAGATAACAGACTGTGCTTGTCAAGCTTTCCATTGTGTCGCACAGTACTCTGTGACATCACAGGCAGATTTGAAACTCAGTCATTTTAAAACAACTGGCCTTAGCTTTCAAACTGAAGTAAACAACAGACTTGTCATTTCTAGCAGACAACCATGGCATTTGTTAGCTTAAATAATGGCTTTTGCTACAATATCAGCTTTAGCAAACTAACATAAGCTAATGCTATTGCTACAACAAACAGTTAACTCTGTCTTCAGCAGTATCATTAGTATCCTAGTGGGTTTCTATAAGTTTGGCTTCATCATGACAAAGCTCTCAGAGTGAAAAACTGCAGCAGACATAAGCATGGATCAGCTGGACATGGTGAGAAACTACTGAGCATGTTAATTTTGCAACGTCTCATATACACATTTACTGAAAATGAACCAATGCCAAATAGCTTCAATTTCATAAACCAAGGCCTTGCTTTAAACACTGCGAATTCACATTCTGAAAAACTGCAGCAGCCCTGTTTCTTAAAGCTAAATATAATATGGATGGAGTGAAGTGAACATAGTCAGCAGCGAAATCAGGGATACCAATGCTGTCACTGTGTTTTGTTTCCCTTCTGTTCCCCAGACCGCTACTCCTCCCTCTGCAGACAGACGTCCCACTCAGGGACAGGCAGGCTCTGTTTGTGCAAACTCAAGCATGTCCTGTGCTGGGCTATGCTACGTGTATGTGTGTGCATCTGCTTGTCGACCCCTGCATGCCTATCTCAGGCATCTGTGCAACATCCAGGAAACCACTTGAAAAACAGAATTGAGAATTATGTAAACAGCCCATGACAAACTTCTGCAGTGGCCATCCAACACTCTATTTACTTTTTCAATTATGTACTCTGTGGAGCTGCTTTCAATAAGGGAGGAGTACATACAGTATATCGACTATTGTCTCTGCGGGATGCAGTAAATGGTGTATGTCATTGCTTACTGTGTTCCAGCATGACCCATATCTAGATGTGTACAGTACAGTATAGTATATTTAGTAAATGCTGCACTTTCACAATTCTCCAGAAGAAGCAGCTTTTTTTGTAGAATTTGACATTTTGTGAGCTCAAAATTAAAAGGTTAAAATGTTGAGAAAGGGTAATAATGTTCTATCACTCAATCTTTTTACTTCCCATAATATTAAATAAACATTTTCAGCAAATCTTTGTTTTAAATGTTTGAAATGAAGACAAGGGGAGTTATGGCTTTTATCACTGCTTTGCTGACATTTGAGACAAAATTACCAGTAAAAAAGTATCGCTGTAGCTCTAAATTGAATTAATTAATTAAGGATTAATCAAATCAAATAGGAGCTCAGGCTTTCATTCTCCCTCAGGACAACAGGTGGGATACAGTATTTCTGTAATATTCAGCTGAAAAGTCACCACACTAGAAACTATAGTAGCCTGCCATGCACAGAAGACATTCAACTATACTGTATTATTACTGGAGGACAGAATCAAAAATAGCTTCAGCAGACTCCATCCAACACATCAATCATGAGGAGTAAATGGAGTAAAGATCACAATCTGAACTATTACCAAATATTACTCTGTTATTTTAGAAGCTCAAGTTACAAGACACATCTAACCATAATAACATATTTCATATCTACCAACATTAGCCTTGGATGGGAAGCAGATATTGCTTTAGGGACTACCTACAGATGCACATTAACAGCGCTGCATTGCCTGAGACAACAGCCTTCATAACAGAGGCTCTCTCTCTCTTAACAATAAGGTGTTTTAACATTTCTGGTTACATACATACCTGAGAAAAGGGAAACATTGCTAGAAATGTTATGAATCTACCATTTTAAGGCACTAAAGATGACACTAAGTGATTTGTTATTGGTGGTATGTGTAGTACACAGCCATAAAATAACATTTTGACTCATTAGTAAAAGAGATTACTGTTGAGACCTTTGGGAGCTCTGCGGCATATTAACACTGTGGTCGACTGGGGAATCAAATTGTAGAAGCATCATCCTCTTCCTGGCAGGAAGCAAATGGGCATGAGGGAAATGTAGTCTTTAATAGGGTAGATTCAATTTTGGATTTTGCTGTCTATAAAAGACCCCTGGATTTGCAAAGGTCCAATGCTTATCAAACTTGCAATGCAGAAAACATTAACATAATGCCATTTTTGTCAGCACTGATTCTCACATTCACCCACTGAAATTACAAACACTGGCAAAAGATTTAATTTACAGGCCATTAAGTACATGGTAACAACATAGTAACATGAGGAATGTGCTAGGAATTTATCCAGGTAAAACAGACGTAATGAGTAGCTGTTGTTTATTAATGACCATAAATTACTGGGGAAGTACTACTTAAAATTAAAACAGAACAAAAAGGTTTTCCCAGTAAATTTATTGGTTTCATACCACCGGAGCTACAACTCATTGCTCGTTCCTGCAACAACAATCGCCACCATAACCCCCGAGAAGCCCCCTGAAGCACCAGGCACGAGCGAGCAGGCTGAAATCAGGAGAGCGACCCGGAGATGGAGACGCAAATGGGGCAAGAGATGAGGGCTCCATGCCAGGCTAAAAGCTCGCGCTACCCGACCGCCACTACCCAGCCTCTTCCTAGCTAACGTACAGTCTCTGGAAAACAAATTGTATGAGCTAAGAGCTAGGATTACAACACAACAGAAAAAAAGAGAATGCTGTGCTCTAATTCTCACCGAGACTTGTCTTTCTGACAAAGTCCCAGATTCCGCGATTCAGCTACAGACCCACTCTGTACATCGGGGAGACTGCACTGCTGCTTTGGGGAAGGTAAAAGGATGCAGTGTGTGTGTGTTTAGCAATAACTCGTGCTGTGGAGATGTACGGACTGTTTATAAGCACTGTTCGCCAGAAGGGGAGTTTTTATTACTGAAATGCCGGGCCTGTTATCTAGCAAGAGAGCATAGTGCTGTGTTTCTGGCTGCTGTGTATGTTAGCCCAAGAGCTGACTCCTCGACAGCTCTCAGCAAACTCTACGTGCCGTCTCAGAGCGCTAGAGACGGCACATCCTTCTACACCCGCTTTGAGACCTCCAGCTACAGCACAGAGAGGAAGGACACACACACCTGGGCCACCCCCCTTCCCTCCACTAACTGTCTCACCAGACCAGGTACGCAAAGTCCTGAGGAAGATCGACCCCTGCAAAGCAGCAGGACCGGACAACATCCCTGGGAGGGCTCTCAGGGCATGTGCCAGCAAGCTGGCTGATGTTCTCACCATCATCTTCAACCTCTCCCTCAGCCAGAGCATCGTTCCCACCTGCTTTAAGACCAACCATCGTCCCCCTTCCCAAGAAGAGCCCGATCACCTGCCTGAACGACTACAGGCCAGTGGCACTCACCCCAATCATTATGAAATGTTTTGAGAGAGTGATGCTAGCCCACATTCAGAGCAGTATACCAGACACCCTGGATCCCTGCAGTATGCCTACCGGCCCAATAGGGCCACCTCAGATGCCATCGCGGTTGCCTTCCACTATTCCCTTTCTCACCTGGAAAATTGAGACTCTTACATCAGGATACTCTTCATTGACTACAGCTCCACCTTCAACAGTTGTCCCCAACAAACTCACCCACAAACTGTCCACACTGGGTCTGCACCCCACCCTTTGTGATTGGCTCCTGGACTTTCTGACTGGCAGGCCCCAGACTGTCAGGATTGGCAATAGGACTTCAGCCAGCATTGTTACAAACACT